GTGGGACACGCGTGCACACACTGCTGTGGTGCTTTACGCCTCTTTTTGCGAGACCCGTTGCACGTGGGTAGGTGCTCTCTCCGGCTCTCTGTTGCCGTCTCTGTCTCCGTCTCCGTCTGCCTGTCTTATCTCTTATCTCTCTTTCCATCTCCTCCCCCACCCCTCTGTCGCTCCCACTCTAGTAACCTGCCTTACCGCCCGCGTACCCCCCCCCTCCCCCCCCCTGCTTCTTGATCTTCTCCCCTGTTGTGTGCGTGCATCTTTTGATACTAGGTGGAGCCACAGCTGAAAGAATCCCTCTTCAAGGGACTGTCAGCGTGTCAAGTATTTTATTGCCAGGTGGGTCAAGTGGGCCGATCGCGCCGGCCGTATTAGTCGTTTTAAGTCGTGAATATTGTCTCTTTGTTTTAGACTATGAGGACACGGCAAACAATGATGTGCGTGCCTGCTCCGCTCCTGTGACCACGAGCCGTGAGACAACGCTGTCTATTGTTTGATGCAAGCGTAAGAAGAGGGTAAAGGCGGCACGGTCTTCTCATCTTTTCTTCAATTGCCAAAAAATTCGGGTCTTTTCGTCCCTTCCACAATAATGTCGCCGCGATGATGCGATTGTCCATGTGATGCGACGCTGGCTGCTGGCATGTTGCACCCCGCGGTTTCCCCACCAAAGTGCTCTGAAGCTTCCCCGCATCGCAGAGCCCCTTTCCCCCGAATATGTCTTGCCACACACACCACACTTGCGGGTGAATTTTTGGTGTCTTGGTGTGCGTGTGTTGGCCTTTTTTTTTTTTTCCCGGCAGGCCTCGCTGTCGGCCTTCGAGACGGATTTCGTTGAGAGCACGGACATGCGGGACTACGTGATGAACCTGCAGAGCACGACGACGACGCTGGAGAACAGCATGCCGCTGCCCCCGTTGGGGGAGCACGTCGCCTTCCTGCGAAACGCACTCGTGAGTAAATAGCAGCACCAGTACCAGTGCATACCACCATCTCTTTCTGTCTCTCTCTCTCTTTCTGTCCCTCGCTTTCGTTCTATCTCTCTCGCTGGTGTTCTTTCTCTCCGCCTTGTTTTCTTGTGTTGTAGCATGAGTTGCAAGCAAGGTGATATTAATTGTGATGTCATTAAGTTACAAGGGCGGCGGACGCGGGGGGCTATCGTAGCCCCCCCCCCCCCCCCCCAAAAGGATCCTGGATACTTATTCTTTTAACA